TGCTGTTTGGCCTGCCGTGTTCATCCAGCTCTACACCTTGTTATTTCGCAATATTTCAGTCGGTACACTTTACTGTACTTCCTAGATTTGTCAAGCCTCCATCCAGTCATGCCTTAATTTTTTTTTTCAGGGAGGTGTGAGTGCAGGAAGCAGATTCTAAGAAATCCGAAGGTGTTCTGCAACATGAAGTATACATTTGGTGAGTTGCGGAGACACTTGGCTCATTATTTTCCATCTCGAACATTGAATGGCAAAGCCAATTCCAGCAGGATGTCCGGGGTGGCGGGGGGAGCCACGGACAGATGTTCTGCTTCCACCTTGTTCCATGTCAAAGGCAGAATGTGTGTGTGTGTGTGTGTGTGTGTGTGTGTGTGTGTGTGTATGTACGAATCATAGAGTCACTATAGTGTGGAAACAGGCCATTCGGCCCAACAAGTCGACACCAACCCTCTGAAGAGCATCCCACCCAGGCTCCCCCCTTACCCATCCCTGTAACCTTGTATTTCCCATGGCTAATCCACCTAGCCTAGGCATCCCTGGACACAATGGGCAATTTAGCATGGCCAAGCCACCTAACATGCACATCTTTGGGCTGTGGGAGGAAACCAAAGCACCCAGAGGGGTGCACGTGTGTGTGTGTGTATGTGTGTGTGTGTACACCCTCCAGCCAACACTGTATTCTGCGGGGCAGCACAGTGGCTCAGTGGTTAGCACTGCTCCCTCGCAGCGCCAGGGACCCAGGTTTGACTCCAGCCTTGGGCTATGTGGACTTTGCACATTCTCCCTGTGTCTGCGTGGGTTTCCTCTGGGTGCTCTGGTTTTCTCCCAGTCCAAAGATGTGCAGGTTAGGTGGACTGGCCATGCTAAATTGCCCATAGTCTTCAGAGATGTGCAGGCCAGGTGGGTTTGCCATGGTAAAATGCAGGATTACAGGGATAGGACTGGGTCAGGGTGGGATGCTCTTCAGAGGCTCAGTGCAGACTTTTTTTATTAATTCAAAGGGATGAGGACGTCACTGGTTAGGTAGCATTTATTGCCCATCCCTAACTGCCCAGAGGACAGTTACGTGTCAATTGCATTGCTGTGTCTGGAGTCACATGTAGGCTAGACCGGGTAAGGATGGCAGCTTCCTTCCCTAAAGGGCATTAGTGAACTGACTCAAGGAGCCAAATGGCCTATTCCAACATTGTAGGGAATCTATGTTTCCATAAATTGTGCCAGCTGAAAATTCATAAGAGACCTCTACTTTGAGAGCAGATAAGGATTGAACCTGGACTTGCTGAGTACTTTCCTAAGACAGCAGCCTGGTTTGCTTTCTAAACCAATGACAATTGCTGGGGCAGGAGTGGGTACCTCGAGGGGCCCTGGATCATTAGCTGGTGCCACTGAAGCTCTGCCAGGCCACCATGATAGTGCCAAAGATCCTACTCCTGCTGTTCGGGTGTGACATGTCACCTCAACTCCACTTCAGGCCACCGCCACCAAACCACACCACCCCCTCAACCCCACCCCATATACACGCACAGACACAGACACATGCTCACACAGCCACAGATACACATGGAGTCTCTCTCTCACACACACACACTCACTCACTGTGCATGGGTCGGGCTCCACCTCGTCTCTCGTAAAACGTCACCATTTGCAGAGTGATCTCTCCAATGTTGTCTCTATCCCGTCTATAAAGCACAATCAGCAGACATGGGAACACCACCACCTGCAAGTCCCCATCCAAGCCACTCACCATCCTGCCTTGGAAATACATCACCGTTCCTTCACTGTCACTGGGTCAAAATTCTGGAATTCCTCCCTAAGGGCATTGTGGGTCAACCCACAGCACATGGACTGCAGTGGTTCAAGAAGGCAGCTCACCCCCACCTTCTCAAGGGGCAACTAGGGACAGGCAGTAAATGCTGGCCTAGCCAGTGATACCATATTCCGTGGGTGAATGAACAGAAATCACATTCAGGCAGTGACTCAGTTGCATTGCTGCCAGCTCTGAGGCAGATCACCCCAAAGGTAGGAGCACAAAATCCAGGCAGATATTTGCAGTGCAGCACTGCAGGGGTGCCATGTTTTTAACATGCAATGTTCAGCTGAGGCACTGTCTGCACTGTCCATTAGATGTACAGAGTCCCACAGCCCTGTTCAAAGAGCAGGGAATTCACCCCAGGACCAATGGTTATCTTCGAGATCTGTTTGGGTAGGTTGTGGGATCTTGCAGTGTATGGATTGGCTGCCCCTTTTGCCTACATTAGAACAATGATGACCCTCCAAAAGGATCTTATTGGCTGCAATGCACTTTGTGATGTCCCTGTGGTTGTGCTACACACCATATAAATACAAGACAAGCTCATCAATAAAATAATTCTCCTTCCTTACTGCTAAATTATAGGAATTATATCAGAATTACCAGAAGTAATTAGGATGAATAATCTAATTGAATAGCTTCATAAATCATTCTTCAAACCTTGTGCTGAAGTGACAGCCCTGAAGTTATTGCTGTGCATTAATATTCTGAATAATGCATTGACTGTGCAGAAATTGTTATTCTGATACTTCCTGGGTTTTGTCCTGTCTTGTGAGTCTAATTTGGTTTAATGCAACAAACATGGAGAAATGCTGGAGAAACTCAACAGGTCCAGCAGCATCTCTGGAGAGAAAGCAGTGTTAGCATTTAGAATCCATTGATCCTTCTTCAGAACGCAGAGTTAATGTTTCAATTTGCTATGACTTGCCTTCAGAACTCATACCAGACTTGAAACATTAATTCTGTTTCTGTCTTCAGAAGCTGCCGGACCTGCTGAGATTTCCAGCATCTGCAGCGTTATGCCGTTATTTAGAATTTGGTTTTAATGATTGTCTATCCATTTCCTGTCATTGCCACAGTCCTGAAAGTAAAAGTTCTCTCAGCTCATGACAAAGGGTCACACGCAGAGGTCATTGTGAAGGTCAAGAAAGTGTTGAAACTGACAAAGTTGAAGGTTCACCGGGGCAAACAAGTTCTGTATCTAGAATCATGGACAAACCGAGGCTGCACATGCCCAGTTCTGAATCCTGGTAAGAAACATGTTAACATCAGAGCACGCAACATAAAGCTGTCACCATCATGATGAATATTCATTATCCAACATACAAATGAATCTGTTTACCCTGAATCTGTTTACACTGGGAGGAAAGGCTGCAAAAGCATCACTGAATTGTGCTCAGCAGGTTTCTTACGGAATCAATGACTAGTCAGAATAAAGGAATCTCTTCACACAACACCAGCAGCCATTAGTGTTATTTTCTCAATGATGAGAGATGAGGAGCTGTGATGGAACCAAAGGAATCAGGTATCCACGCACACAAATCACCACCAGGGGAATGGGCCATGCAGTGGTCATAGGTTCAAACCCCACCATAGCAGATGAGAAATTCCAATTCCATGAAAATCTAGATTAAGAATCCCTACACTTTGTAAGTAGGCCATTTAGCCCATCAAGTCCACACCGAACCTTTGCAGAGCATGCTGTCCAGACCCATGCCCCCCACCCTATCCCTGTAATCTAGCTTTCCCATGCCTAATCCACCCATTCCTGAACGTTTAGGCAATTTAGCATAGCCAATTCAACCAAACTACATATGTGGACGGAAATTGGAGCACCCAGAGGAAACCCAGGGAGAACGTGCAAACTTCACACAGACAGTCGCCCGAGGGTGGAATCGAACCTGGGTCCCTGGCGCTGTGAGGCAGCAGTGCTAACCACTGAGCCACTGTGACATCCCAAGGAGTTTGCCTAATGGTGACTGTGTAATCACTGTTGATTGTTGTAAAAATCCATCTGGTTCATTATTGCCTCTTTAAGGAAGGAAATTCATAGAGGAATTTAAAACTTGAAGGCATAATTTTTAAGACGAGATCGAAAGACTTAAAGGGTCCTGAGGAACAACTTTTTCTCACAGACGGTGGTTTGTATGCAGAATGAACTGCCAGAGGAAGTGGTAGATGCAGATACAGTGACAACCTTTTAAAAGACGTTTGGATGGGTACATAAATAGGAAAGGTTTAGAGGGATATGGACCAAACGCAGGCAAATGGGACCAGTTCAGTTTAGGATGCCTGGTCAGCATGGACAAGTTGAACCGAAGTTTCTGTTTCCGTGCTGTATGACTCAGAGCCTGTAGCTTTCCCTGGTCTGGCCTATATGTGGCTGCAGACCCAAAACAATGTGAATGACCATTAGCTACCAGCAGCCAGCAGTGGTCTGTGCCCATCATTCAGCAAGACACATTCAGGCCTGAAATCAGGAAGCACCTTTTCCACTTTACAGCGAGTGTGAATCTAGAACTCTCTGGCCTCATAAGATCCTGGGACCAATTTTGAGCTCAGAAGGCTGAGGCTGATGTGATTTTTTTTTGAGGTCAGGGTATCGGGGATGACACAGAAGAGGGTGAATGGAGGTGGTTGTGATCTAATGAAAGTTAGATTAAGCTCATGAGGCTGACTGGCCTCCTGCTGCCCTTATGTCTCCAGTTGAAGTGGGTGAGAAGGTGAGGACCAGGGTGAGACCATAAAACCAAAAGAAATAAGAACAGGAGCAGGCCTTTCGGCCCCTCAAGCCTGCTCCACCATTCAATATGATCATGGCTGATTTGACATTCCTCACATCTACTTTCCTACCTGTTCCCCGTAACCCTTAATTCCTCTACTGATCAACAATCTATCTATCTCAGTCTTAAATATACATGAGGTGAGCAGATGCAGTTCAATTTTTGGTCATACATCCTGAACTTAGCTTCAGATTCCCAAATCCACATTTCCAATGGGATCGGCCTATGTAAACATGTCATGTTGTTATTACATTCTCCCACCAGGGGCGGCTCTGCATGAGAGTTTAATTACAATGTGACAAGGTTATATCGGCAGAATAGCCCTTATAGATGTGAATGTAGATTAATAATGGCAAGCACTGATCAAAAAAAGAATAAAGAGATTCTGTTTAGACGAGGGAAAAGTGATTTCAAACCTTCTTGTATTTAATGGTTGCCCTGTTTTCATGGGGCTCTGAGCAGATGATGAGTTTTACATCTGATGATTCATTAGTTGCTGTTTGCCTTGAGTTATCTGCATCATGAATTGGAACCTGTGTTGCAGACTGAGATGGACAGATGGCAGGAGAATTTTGGGGTTAGTGTGGTGCCAGGAACAAAATCTGACAACTTCCCAAATTTTAATTGAGTGTAACTACACTATAAAAATCCGAGGCCGGGGCAAGAGGAGAAAGTCCCAACTCCCAAGGATTGAAGAATGTTTAACACTCTTTTGAATCGGACAGTTGTTTCCTAGTGGTTACTGAAGGCACAAGGCTCCTTGGAGATGTTAATGAGAGGCGTCGTACCTAAATTGGATCCAGTATGCCAACCTGAGCCTGCTTCATGACATGGTCACTACTGAAATGTTGAATGGATAAAGGTTAACCATGCAATGAGGAGCTGGAGCGAATCACAATCATCCCCTCTCAGCTTTCCGCCTCCCCCTTCCTAGGATCTCTGAGGCCCAGTAGGCTGAAACAGATTCCTCGGAAATGAATGAACAGCCTCTGGCTTAGAGGCACAACCAGTTCATCCAAGTGGGGCTGAAGCTGCCATTTGAGAGAATCTAGGGTCTCCTGGGTCAGGAAGCCAGTTGGTTACACCCCCAAGACGGAGGGGCCTTGACCAATCATCTACCCTTTGAGGAATTGCACTAAAATCAGGTCAGACACGGTCTAACTGAACTGTGCTAAACAGCCCCTCTTGGCTCTACCCTCAATCTTAAGGACTTCTCTTGCACTGTGCTAGAAGACATAAGAATAAGAGATAGGAGTTGGAGAAGGCCATTCGGCCTCCAAGAAGATCTGTGCTGATATGGTTGGCACCTCAACTCCACATTTCTGTCTGACACTTGGAACATGTTGATCGAACTCAGCCCTGACTATTTTCAATGACCCAGTTTCTACTGCTGTCTGAGGAGAGAATTTCAAACGCTAATGACCTGAGAGAAGCTATTTCATCTCTTCTCTGTTGCAAATGGGAAATCCTTCATTATTAAACTGTGCCCCAGAGTTCCAGATACCCACATGAGGGGTCACATCCTCTCGACATCCACCCTGTTATTCCCCTCCTCCCTCAAGTCTCATGTCTGCTAATAGGATAACCTCTCATTCTTCTAAACTTCACTGAGTATAGGTTCAACCTGCTCAACATTACCTCATAAAGCAAACTCAATCTCAGAAGTCAGCCTCTGAACTGCCTCCAATATAAAGATCATCTGTTATTCTCCCTGAGCTCTCTGACTGAAGCCATGTGCCTGGTGATTATTTGCTGGACCGTGGTTTACTACAGATAGGGTGTGGAGGCAAGTCTTGTATCTACCTGTGCTGGGACAAATATTAAACCCTGTGCTGGTGGTGTTAATTTGATCCATGGACTAGCTCATTGCATTAACCCCTCTCAACACAAGTATATCTCTCCTCATGCAAGGAAACCAAACTGCGTACAATATTGGTGTGGTCTCACCAATGCCCTCTATAGTTATCCCAAGATTTCCTCACTATTGTATTCTATCCTTCCCTTGTAATAAAAGCCAACATTCCAATTGTCTTAGTCTTGCATACTTGTACATACCCAATTTCAGATTGTCATTCAGGCTTGCAAAGTGGTGCACTTACACATGCTGAAAGCTGTCTGTATTAATATTCAGGGCCCTGTTCTTTGCAAAAAGTATGTGTACACACATTTCATCTGTTCCAACTCAACAAAACAGGCAACAGCTATTCTCTCACCTCATTTCTCAGCAATGCCTTAACCAATCAGAGGTAACTGCCTTACTTGAAATTTACACAAAGCTCGCCAGTTAACTGTCAGCCATCATTAACTGGTGTATTCCCCATGGCAGTGCCTGTTCCAATCAAAGTCCGCTTGTGAACCAATCGACACTATCCTCTCCTATAATATTTCCAGATGAGGGCAAAATGAAAACTTTGACAAAATGTCTTTTTCACCAAACCTTGTGTTCTGTACCTCCAAACAAATATGGCTGTTCCTTCAACATATTTGAATGGAATCTATTATTGAAAATGGTGAAGAAATTATTCCTCCTTTTCTTTACAGAGAGATTCTCCGAAATTGACCTGCATTTGCCGATTTCACCACTTCCTTTGCACTAATTCTACACATTTTCTACATTTGAAAGGGTTCCACATGGTAAGCTGCTCTGGAAGGTTAGATCACATGGAATCCAGGGAGAGCTGGCAAATTGGATACATAATTGACTTGATGGTAGGAAGCAGGGAGAAATAGTGGAAGGATGCTTGTCAGACTTGGAGGCCTGTGAGTGGTGGTGTACCTCAGGTGTTAGTGCTGGGCCCATTGCTTTTTGTTATCTGTATCAATGATTTGGATGAGAATGTACAAGGCATGATTAATAAGTTTGTGGATGACACAAAAGTAGACAGTATCGTGGACAGTGAGGAAGGTTATCAGAAATTGCAGCAGGATCTTGATCAGCTGAGGAAGTGGGCCAAGAAATGGCAAATGGAGTTTAATATAGATAAGTGTGAGGTGTTGCATTTTGGAAAATCAAATCCAGGTAGGAAATTCATGGTGAATGGTAGGGCTGTAGTGGAAGAGAGGGACCTTAGAGTTCAGGTGCACGGTTCTCTGAAAGTGGAGTCATAGGTAGACAGGGCAGTGAAGAAGGCTTTTGGTACACTGGTCTTGATCAGTCAGGCATTGAGTACAAGAGTTGGGAAGTTATGTTGCAGTTGTACAGGATGTTAGTGAGGCCGCACTTGGAGTATTGTTTTCAGTTTTGGTCACCTTGCTACAGGAAGGATGTTATTAAACTAGAAAGAGTGCAGAAGAAATTTACAAGGATGTTGCTAGGACTCAAGGGACTGAGTTATAGGGAGAGGTTAGACAAGCTAGGACTCGTTTTTTTAGAACGTAGGAGACTGAGGGGGGACCTTATAGAAGTGTATAAGATCATGAGAGGCATGGATAGGGTGAATGCACTCAGTCTTTTTCCCAGGGTTTGGGAATCGAGGACTAGAGGGCATCAGTTTAAGGTAAGAGGGGAAAGAATAATGGGAACCTGAGGGGCAACTTTTTACACAGAGGTTGGTACGCATATGGAATGAGCTGCCAGCGGAATTGGTTGATTTGGGTACCTTAACAACATTTAAAAGGTATTCGGATGAATACATGGATGAGAAAGGTTTAGAAGAATATGGGCCAAGTGCAGGGAAACGGGGTTAGCGTGGATGGACATTTTGGTTGGCATGGACCAGTTTGGGCCAAAGGGCCTGTCTCTATGCTGTAGGACTCTATGAATCCTGGACCATACTTTCTGATAGTTATTTCCACAAGTGGTCAGGCTCTAACTGGCACACAGTCAGCTGTAAAGGAGATGCTCTGTGGTAAGGATTAGCAGGAACCCTCATAACATGCCATTTCAAAAAGAAAGACTTGCATTTATGTAGCACCTGTCATGGCGTTAGGATGTCAAAGTGTACTGCAGCCAGTGAAAGCAGTACTCCAGTTTTGTACTCCCAAATGACTATTGGTGCTATTTCTTCATTTCCAGCATTAATCCTCCTCCTGGTGCTGAGCACTGCATTAACCTGAGTCTTTCACTGTTCACAGGTACAGAGTATCTAGTTGCAGGGCATGAGGACATTCAGAGCGGCCATCTGATAGTCAACCTGAAGAGCTTTGTCCAGGCTTGGAAACCTGATCTCGGCCGAAGGATAGCTCACATCTTGAGAGCAAAATGCTAGAAGTGCCCTATGTTTGAAAGCAGCAGGATGTTTCCCGATTGTATTGAGCAGGTCTCTGTCCTAAGGGAATCTGTCAGCCAGTGATCATTATGTTAAAGCCCTCAAACATGGTGGTTTCAGATCTAAACTGGCCTTGGATTCCTTTCTTTCTTAAAAAAAAATCTTTTTGCTTTTTTTGTATGTAATAACGCACTTTATTAGCTGACGGGTCATGACAGGGGAGAGATTATTAGATATGCAACTCGAAAGGTTAATACATTAAGGTGACAGGACATTTAATAGCTATACTCTAGCTGTGAAACCCTCGCCACCTCTCCCCACCCTCCCCACACACACACATACGCTCACACGCCCACATACATAGACTTAAATACAAAGACATACACACAGACATAGACAAATCCACACACAGTCACATAGACATACACATACACATGCACGCAGGTATACACACACATCCACATATACACACACACACTCGGCTCTGTAACACTGACATGGATTTTGAATCAGAGGGACGTTGCATTGGCGGAGTTTTGTGTGATTACAAACCGTCAAACCAAATTAGTTGCAACATTGTGTCCTGGTAGTTGGCATCTTTCATATTGGTATCAAGGACAGATCCCACACACCGAGCATGAAACTGGACCCTTCAGACAGTTCAACGGGCTACAGGCCCCCATCTGTAATAGACGGTTAGCTTTATAGTGATAGGTAGTGTCCTTAAACAGAGTTTTGTTGTTCTGATTTGGAGTCTCCCTTTACCACTGGACTTTGTGTCTAACATTAAAGGTTTTCTGCAGAAGAATGATAATTTTATGTCGATGTAAACCTTATGCACTGGACTTAAAAGGGAAAATTGCAGTGTTACATGTTGATGTGTAGACTTTGAACAATAAAGTATAGAAATGTGTATGCACTTAGCAGTCCAATGGATTTGCAAAATATTTTGCCCTTTTTTACTTCTTAATTTACACAATAAAATTGGCTGAACTGTACATTCAGTGTATCCTTTCTCCTTTACTGAATAACAAGCTGTAGGGCCTGAAACTGCGTTCTTGCCCTGGATGTATCCTGAGTGTAATTCTAGGTGGGAGAAGGGGCCATGAATTATGACTGATCCAGTCCTATGGTCTGAAGGCCATGTTTTCTAATGGGGTTAGATTTCTGACCAGCATCTCCTTGTCCATGGCATGAAGGGAACATTGGTCCAGGACATTCCCAGGCTTCTTGCAAGCTGATAGGGCCAATAAAACCTCCCATTTGTGAGGCAAATGTTTTTATTCGTTCATGGGACATGGGCATTGATGGCTGGGTCAGCATTTATTATCCATCACTAATTAGAGAATAGGAAAGCTGGAAAAAAGTGCTGAAGCACTTTCAGCCTGATCCACCACTCAATCTTATCATGGCTGATCTCCAACTCAGTCCCAGGTTCCAGTTTTCTATCCCATAACCTTTGATCCTTAGTTTCCCTTGAGAAGGTGAGCTGCCTTCTTGAACCGCTGCAGTCCATATGCTGTGGGTAGACCCACATTGCCCTTAGGGAGAGAATTCCATCATTTTGGCCCAGTAACACTGAGGGATGTATTTCCAAGTCAGGGTGGTGAGTGCCTTGGAGGGGACCTTGCAGCTGGTGGTGTTCCCATTGATAGTAGTGTCATGGTTTGGAAGATGCTGTCTAAGGATCTTTGGTGAATTTCTGCAGTGCATCTCAGTGGCACAGTGATTAGCTCTGCTGCCTTACAGCGCCAGGGACCTGGGTTTGATTCCAGTCTTGGTTGACTGTCTGTGTGGAGTTTGCATTTTCTCCCTGTGCCTGCATGGGTTTCCTTCAGGTGCTCCGGTTTCCTCCCACAGTCCAAAGATGTGCAGGTTAGACGGATTAACCGCGGTAAATGTGGGGTTACAGGGATAGGGTGGCAGAGTGGCCTTGGTTGGGATGCTGTTCAGGGGGGTCTATGCAGACTTATTGGGCTGAATGGCCTCTATCTGCACTATATGGATTCTGTGATTTTGTAGATAGTACACACTGTTGCTACTGAGCGTCGGTGGTGGAGGGAGCGGATGCTTCTGGATATGGTGCCAATCAAGCAGGCTGTTTTGTCCTGGATGGTGGGAAGCTTCTTGAGCATTAACTGGGGAGTATTCCATCATACCCCTGACTTGTGCCTTTGTAGATGATGGACAAGCTTTGGGGAGTCAGGAGATAAGTTACTCGCTGCAGGATTTTTAGCCTCTGACCTGCACTTTGTAGCCACTGTGTTTACATTAAGAGTCCAGTTTTTGGTCGATGGAACCCCCAGATTATTGACAGTGGGGAATGGCAGTGATGGTAACACCATTGACTGTCAAGGGGTAATGTTTAGATTCTCCAGAGTATCCAGTCCCTTGGAATCATTCCAGCCTTCCACCTCTAGGCTGGCCAAGGTGTGATGTGTTCATTACAAAGGAGCAAATGCACCGCACACTGCAGTTTGGCTCCTGGTGAAGCCCTCCCCCTTCCCCGCCCCCCCCCCCCACCCCACCACTGACAGATCTGGCCTCTCCCCATACATCAGTCCCGCCATCCCTGGAATCAGTTTGGTAAACATTTGTGCTGTCCCTCCACTGCCAGAACGTCCTTCCTGAGATAAGGAGACCAAAACTGCACACGGTACTCCAGGTGCGATCTCACCAAGGCCTTGTACAATTACATCATGACATCCGTGTTCCTGTACTGGAATCCTCGCACTATGAAGGCCAACTTTGTTTTTGTTCCTGATTTACAGCATCCGCAGTTCTTTTGGTTTTTATTGATGTCAGGCTAACTGGTTAATAATTCCCTGTTTTCTCCCGACTCCATTATTAATGGGTAGGGATACATTAGTTATTCTTCAATCCATAGGATATGTTCCAGAGTCTATAGAATCTTGAAAGCCAACCACAAATGCACCCACTATTTCTAGGGCCACTTCCTTAAGTACCCTGGCATATGGATTATTGAGCCCTGGGGATTTGTCAGCCTTTAACACTGATTTTCTTCAGTCCCCTCCGTCTCACTAGACCTTGTACGCTCCAATATTTTTGGGACTTGATTTGTAAAGATAGAACCAAAATATGTATTTAATTGTTGTAACTCCGATGACACAGATGCTGTCAGACCTGGTGGGTTCCTACATCAATTTCACTGCCAACATCCATTTCAAACCCACTGACTCCCACAACTTGCTCGACTACACCTCCTCTCACCCATCTTCCTGTAAAAATGGTATTCGATATTCTCAATTCCTTTGCCTCCACCGCATCTGCTCCCAGGATGAGGCATTGTACTCCAGGACATCCCAGATATCCTCCCACTTTAGGGACCGGGATTTCCCCTCCTCTGTAATTATAAATGCCCTCAACCGATAATGATGACCATGAATCCATTGTCGATTGTCGGAAAAACCCATCTAGTTCATTGATGTCCTTTAGGGAAGGAAACTGTCATCCTTACCTGGTCTGGCCCACATGTGACTCCAGACCCACAGCAATGTGGTTGACTCTGAACTGCCCTCTGGGCAATTAGGATGGGCAATAAATGCTGCATGGCCAGCGATGCCCACATCCTGTTAATGACTAAAAGAAAAGCCACATCTCCTCCATTTCCTGCACCTCTGCCCTCAAGCCCCCCCCCCCCAACAACAATAAGGACAGAATCCCCTCAGTCCTTGCATACCACACCACCAACCTCCAAATCCAATGCATCATCCTTCGACATTTCCGCCACCATCAGACCTCATCACCAAAGAGATGTTTCCTTCCCCACCCCCTCCACTTTCCGCAGGAACCGTTCACTCCGTAACTCCCTCGTAAGATCTACAATCCCCACCAACCCCTCTTCCACATCCGGTACCTTTCCCTGCAACCGCAAGAGTGCAACACTTGCCCCTACACCTCCCCTCTCACCTCTGTCCAAGACCCAAACAACCCTTCCAGATCTGGCAGAGATTCACCTGTACTTCATCCAATCTGATCTACTGTATCCGTTGCTCCTGATGTGATCTCCTCTCTCTCGGGGAGACCAACCGCAGACTTGGGGACCAGTTCGCGGAGCATCTGCACTCTGCACGCATTGACCAACCCAATCTTCCTGTTGCCATCCATTTTAATTCTCCCTCCCACTCCCCGAGTGACTTGTCCATCCTTGGCCACCTCCACTGTCAGAGTGAGGAAAAATGTAAACTGGAGGAACAACACCTGATATTTTGCCTTGGGAACTTACAGCCCAAAGGCCTCAATATTGACTTCACCAGCATCAAAATCCCTCCACCCCCAGCCTTCCCATGTCCAGCCCTCCCCCTTCCTCCTCATCTCCCTGACCTGATCTAACCTGTCCATCTTCCTACTCACCTATTCACTCCACCCTTCCTATTGACAATCACTATAAACCCCCTTACCTGCATCCACGTATCACCATCCCACCTGCCCTTTCCCTAGCCCCACCCCCGCCCCCCCTTATTTCTGGGCGCCCCCCCCCCCCCCCCCCCCCCCCCCCCCCCCCCCCCCCCAAGTTCTGACAAAGAGTTTCGGCCCGAAATGTTGACTTTCCTGC